AAGCAGCACGCAACAAAAAAAATATGAGAGAATTGAACATTTTTTTCAACAATTCGAAATTTCACGAATAGAGCTTCTGCCATGGGAGCGCTGTAGACCACGCCCAGCACCACAACTTACGAGCTATTCAAACCAAATATAAGAACACTTGTATCAATTTTTTTGAAAATTGTAATTTTGTTGATTCCACATACATGTGTATGACAAGGCAGTTGCGGACAATTATTGCCATAACAGAAAGCAAACAAAGCCAAACCACAACCCTTTGCAATTTTTGATGCAACTCATTTCTATTCAATGGATACAACAACAACGAATCAAATTTGGTGCGTGCTTGATGACTGGCAACAATACAAATATAAAAAAATTGGTAATTGTATCGTTCGATATTCATCCCATACGACGAAAATTTTTTTTTCCATTTGACTTCAGGAACCAGGTCTGTGCAAAATAATAAAAAAAATTTTGCAGCTTTGTTTATTTCCAAGCTTTGCCACAATGAAAAGGAAATGATGATTTTGAAGACAAGCGTTACACGGACTCCATTTGGCATGGTGGTGCTTCGTTTCCAATGGTTATTGCTTCGGGAGAAACAACTAAACCGGCCGTCAAAGATGTTTCAATTTCAGAATGATTTCAATCATGCTAAAACGTTTAAACGTCAAAATTTTCCATAATGGTAATAAGTTTGTTTCCAAGCTATGCCACAATGAAAAAGAAATGATGATATTGAAGAAAAGCGTTATACGGGCTGGCATGGTGGTGCTTCGTTTCCAATGCGCATTCATATGGGGGAAACAACTAAACGGGCCGTCAAAGATATGTCACTTTCAGAATGTTCTTAATCATGCTAAAATGGTTAAACATGATAATTTTCCATATTGGTAATAACTATATATTGAAAGACGCAGTTGATATAAGCAACATACAACAAAAAAAATTAAGATGGAATTGAACAATTTTTTTTTGAACAATTCGAAATTTCATGAATAGAACTTCTGCCATGGGAACGCTGTGGACCACGCCCAGCACCACAACTTACGAGCTATTCAACCCAAACGATTTGCGTGCCCCATTGAAGTCAAGAGAATTTATGCATTCAATGAAAACTACTTGCATCAATATTTTTGAAAGTTGCAATTTTGAGGATTCTACTTAGATATGTATGACATACTAATTCCGGACAATTAATGCCATAAGAAAAAACAATCAAAACCAAATCCTAACCCTTTGCAATTTTTGATGCAACTCATTGAATTCAATGGATATAATAACAACGAATCAAATTTGATGCGTGCTTGATGATTACCAACAATACGAATATACGAAAAAAACTTGGTAATTGGAAATTCGATGAAGTCTTTGTGTACTTCCTTGAATTTGATTTTCCGGAAGAAGCAAGTGCCAAGGCATAGGAGAATCCGCCATTTGGCAAGCATGATAATTAAGAAATCCGTGAACCGCAACAAGAACGTTTCGCGCTGCACCTAACTCAAAATTCAAATTATGGATTTTGCAATTAATAGTCAAAGCTTTATATAAAAAAAGTGTAATTTCATTTTTATATAAATCATATTGCGATTATATATTATTAAATGAAGCTTCTTCTTCAAATCGGAATTCAAATCAATAACATCTTGCTTTCTTAAAGCTTTACAAAAATCAATCCCATCGAATGCTACAAGTGACGACAGCGTGATGATTCAACCAATCGGAAGATATATCTATGATCATCATGAAATTTGAAAAGGTCTAGCGTGGCCTGCATACACAACCACGTCTCAGCATCTTGGCAACTTGCAAGCGCTTCATGCATTCTGAATAACCACGGTATCTTCGTGAAGAGAAATTCTTCACTCCGAGAGATAGGGATACCCGTATTATCCTTGAAGCATCGCAAAATATGCAAAATACAACGCTTCGAAACCAAATTATATTGGTTATTAAGTGGGATGGGAGCACTATAGACCACGCCCAACAGTACGGAATAGCAACTGCGCCACCCTAATAAAACAATTACCCTAATGAAGGCAATATTTTACTTTTTCTACACGAAGAAATCGGAGAGCCCTATCATACGGAGAGAAAGTGGCCCAGCTTTTATCAGGCAATTCATAGTAAGCGCGTATCGGCCTAACAGATTTAGAAGAATTACGATAGAAGATTCTCGAAATACATATCTCGTTTACAAGCCTTTAATAGACGCGTATATATTTTATTAGCACACCTTTAACTATATAAGATCTTGAAATATTACTATAACTATTAAGAATAATCGCTTGAATAATTTTCAACAATTTTTTCCAAGAGAAGAAAACATCATTAATTTAAAGAAAAATTAACTAAAAATATTAGACATAGTATCTAGACAAAAATTGATCGAAATAAAATTGAAAGAGTTTATAGAATAAAATATATTCAATATAGTAATTCAATATTTATTCAAGAAGCATTAAGTATAAATAATACATACAAACGTTCGAAATTTATCAAATCAATTGAATCGTTACTTATCATATTCATGAAAAAAAGAAGAATACAAATTATTACAATTAATCAAGTTATGAAAGACTTTGAAATTTTAGACGGAGGACCCTTGAATCCATCCAACTTAGAACTATTTTTTTTCGATATCGATTCTCACTATTTACTCTTGCAGCGGATAAAGCAATCATTTGATTGTTTGCCACCATACTAAGATGACTAGGACAGTAGCTAGCGAGACGATTACCATTAAAAATTACATTCACGCATGTCGGTTTATAGTTGAAACAAATCATTAATTGAATTCATAGAACAATTTCGATATTCAAGGAAGCATGATGATACTCGCATGAACATGACTCTCTTTGAAACTGGTGATTTAGATATCATCTCTGTTACATGGCCCGTTAAGTCTGTTTCACCGCTTGTTACAATAAGGCAATTCTCCGTGCTATCATCCCAATCAATCGCTCTAGCAACTCCATCAGTGATCTGTGTCAACACATATGCCAGCTGCTGAGCAAACAATTCAATCCTCTGCAGCCGAAATCCATCTTTCTCACTTTTTCCGTGATTCCAGAGCCGAAGCTCCGCTGCCATGCAAAATTCCAATTACAATCTAAGCAGTTATAACTTATAACCAAGCAAGATCAATCACTTACCTCACAACCAAGCAGTCGTCCAGTCTTGAGCCAATGCCATTCTGAGACCATTGGTTTTAGGATGCAGCGTGAGGTTTTTGGGGCAGACCAGCCATCAAGCGCAAACTTTTTTGGATGCTGCGCAAGCCTCAGGATTTCGACGCGAGGTATGTTGCCTCACTGGGTCTTCGCAAAGCGTTCCGTGGTTCCAGGAGCAGGGTTCAGGTTCCGGTATTTGGTCCCAGAGTCAGGGTGTACTACTACAATGGATGTAGGATTCGGCCTTTTGAAATCCGGCAGTGTATCAAGCATATCACAACAGGAAGAGATAAGGTGCTTCTTTTTTGGGTACAGCTTGCGGGCTTAGCCTCCTGGCAGGTAGGGGTCCACTACGGTACAATCTGCCAACCCAGAATTTGGAGTGTTTATGAGAAGCCATTGCAGCTAACACACAATATGCCATCTCAGAGCATGTCATAGCCATAGCTTGCGATCACGGAGGAAGCACGTCTCTTAAATTAAAACATGTGGCGCCCAGCCTCTGCTACCTCAGACGGCAGAGCTCGGAGAGTCCTTCACCATCACAACCCGAAAGATCTCGTCGAGGTTGCATTTCATTTAGCGCCTGGCACAGGCTGAGGCTGGCCCAGGCTGCCCTATATCCCGGGGAGGCGGTGCTGTTATCCTCAGCGCTAAGAGGAGCAAGGCTCCTTCCTAACTCAGGAGCAGAAGTCAGTGTTATTTGTTTATGCCTGATATGTCCATCGAATTAGGGTGTCCCCCGTTGTTTTGTGGTGTTTGCCGCTTGAGCTATGTTACAGCAAACTGCTGCGTTATGTGGATATCGTCTGTTTACGGCGTCCCCTATCCTTTTTGAGGGGTTGGCTAGTTTGCCATATTCGACAACCGCCCTGACGTACACGAGCAATTTTGACCCCGGCTCATACGGGCTGTAGCTGGGGCGGTCCTTGCAAAGGGTCTCCAGACATGCTGGCTGTCGATTAGAGTCAGAGGAGGGCAAACAACAGAGATGCGGACTGCCGCTCGGGATGACAAGATATCCCGAATCCACACGGCTGGGAACTCTTGCGCGAGCTGACATGGATTCAGCGTGCGCCAAGCGGACTTCTGCGACGAAGCGCCTCTGAAACTTGTTTTGAATTCAATAGGCTTTCATACGAAAGCTCCCTCAACATCTCGAAACCATCAGGATGGGCATTGAAGCCTTGTTGCCCTAAACCCTAAATCCCAAACCCCACCCTGCTTGCCCCTTTTTGAAGCAAGCTTCCAGGCGCCTGCGCCTCGACGTGGCCAGATGTCCAGATATTTACCGACCATTGATTGGCCCACATTCTGATCGCTCCTCGGGGTTTAGGGTTTATGGGCATGTGACTGCGAGTCCGCGAGGCCCAGGGCTACACGCAACAATCCTCACGAGAGCACGGCTTGCTCTTGCATCCTGGAGCAAACCATCCGAGCATCCTTCTTGCTTGGGATTACAGGGTTCTTGCAATGCATGCAGGGAATATGTACAGAGACTTGTCGAGACACCGCAACATACACTGGTTTCGTTCAATACGTGGCTAGGCATTCCTCATGTGTTGCCTGGCAATATCATCGTCTTGAGGGTCTTAATGCCAGCAGCAGCACATACTGAGGCTTCCTCTGCGTACCAAGTGCTTCTTTGGTATACGTCACAGCCAACGACTGAGGACCAACTAGAGCACCCCGAGCTGAAGCTGATGCAGCTAATGCTTTTGCTCTCAAGGTCTTCTGGAGCTAGTGGTGGGTGCAAAATGTAGAGTATTTGCAGCAGCTGGAACCCTCAATCTAACACACAAGCCTACTGGAACCGTACACAGAAAGCCACATCACTCATGGAAACTCTGGCAAGAAGCGGTGGTGCCAAGGATTCCACAGCGCGATGTCGGTGTGACCCAGGTGCATGCGGATCGGGACGGGGACAAAGGCGTGGTCAAATTCCCAGCCGTCAGGGAGCTCCACGCTTGTCTGGGTGGGACGGACGCAAGCTGAAAACACCATTGAACCCTAAACCCTAAACCCATGACTTTTGAAACCGTCAAGCTTTCCGAGATCAGACCATGTGCAACCTACTTCCCCTGGTGAAGATGTGGGCAAAGGGATGGCAGCAAATTGAAAGCAAACGCTAAAAAAGACATCGGTCGCAAAGCTCTATTCTACAGATTATCGGTACCAAGTCGTGAAACTCTGTGCAAGTCTCAGCGTCGTCGGGAGACTCGTCGCTGATGCCCATCATATGCTGATTGTGATGACCATCCCAGTACAGCTTCACGAAACGATTCCGATGGCGACTGTGCAGTGCAACCATGCCATTGCCCGCATCCACCACTCTGAAGCGCTCCGCTCCCCAAGAGTTGGGCATGTCTTGGGAATGCTTTGGGCTGGGTTGCATCGAATGGATGTCCATCTTCAAGAAGCGCTGGTGATGGATGTTCCACCTAAGTCCCGAGGTCTGATGGAGCACATCACTTCGAAATAACACCCAAAACAAAGATCCGAGGCACAAAGCCACCATGGAACCCGGCTCGAGGAAGTTCTTGACGGGAACCATGTAGAAGCGCTCAGCCTGCCAGTAGACTGGCATCTCATTCCAGTTCTTTTTCGGGCTGCCTTCCACGTGTCCGTTTTCGTTCATCTTGATGAATCGGTTGGAGGTTGGGCTGTGGATCGCCACCGTTCCATCGCCTCCATCAACGATGCGAAAGTACTCCGCCCCCCATTCGGTCGGCAGCTGTGCCGCGGCCTTGATCGGAGAGACCTGCATGTGAGATCGGTTGTGCCGAGCATTGTGCAGAGCTACCAGGCCGCTGCCACCATCCACGATGGTGGCACCCAACCCCATGGCGGGCGTGGGCACCGAGCCTTGGGCGCCCATGCTATGCCGGTCCTCAATTGGCAACATGCTTCAAGCACCGCAAGTAGCCCTAAGCCTAGTAGCAAATTGGCTATGCTACCATGCCATTGCAGGCAAGTTGCATTTGCAGGAAGCGCTTACTTGAAGGGCTGTAGAACCCATACAACGAACTGGAGGTGAAGAGTTCACGAGGCTGGTTTTCAACAATCCGGCAATCTTCCAAGGGACGACCAACCGTCGTCAGGTGATCCTGCCAGCCAACTGCAGTGGTTCCATCACCCCGATAGTACCTGATCGTCTTGCCGGTGTTGATATTCGCCACAGAGAAATGCCAACCGTCCACGTCTCCCAGTCGGAAGGTGCCGATCTGCACAAAGCCATCACCAAAGACGACGCCCGATGGCTCGCCCGTGTATTTCCGAGTGAAGAGGTTTTTGTCGTAGTTTGTCAACCCAGTAAACACCCCACCATCTTTATGAAAGACATAGGGAGTGTTGCCATCAACATGTGAAATGGAGAAGTGACCATCATCCCATTCTCCGATCCGCCAATAGATGCCAAACTGGATGTATCGCTCTCCCACTGTCACCTCCTCCAGCTCTCCGGCTTCCACCTGTCTGGCCTCCAAATTCCAGCCGCCCGAATCATCATGGGCAACCCAATGATGTCCTGCATGACGAGCATCTCCCGGCGACCAAGAGTGACCGTCGCTCTGAAAGATCCTGCCGAAGCCGCAGCTCATGCGTCACACGAGACAGACGGTAAGCTGATAAGACTCATTCCTGCCGAGGGGCCGGCTGCCAGTGCACCAGTACGGTAATGTAAGTACAGATCATCTAGATGCCAGGTCCAGTTTGATTTTGCACAGGGGCATAATCTTGACAACTACTCAATGCTTGGCCTGCACAGGACACCTAGCCGCGGAGGTGTTTAGAGAGCTTGTCAGGCCACATTCCATGTAGTGGGAAACCAGAACATGACTGGTAGGACCGCGGTTTTTTGAGAGTGCTTCGCATTGCGACGTGTCCCCAACATATCGAGCCCAATCGGTCGATCGTCCCAGGCTCATGCGGACTGCCTACCATTTTTGCTCAGCTGGACTGTCATGTCCAGTCGAAAGGAACTTATGCCAGCAGGCTCTGGGCGCTTAGACGTCTCAGCATGGTGAACACATCGGTGAGGGGCACTCTCTGTGCCAAGCGTCGCTGCTGATATTTCCCACACGTGCGGTGGGTCAACACTTTTCAATCGCAGGATTCAACCTAAGAAGCGCCCTCACTCCTTGTCCAGTAGCGCCGGGCTCTCCCCTCTTTCAAACCAGAAACCTTATGATTATCTCAAATTCCCAACCCTCAACGCTTGTGGCCAAAGTACTACAAGCATTACAGCCCCTTGGCTTCATACGACCCTGAAGTCAAAAACCGTTTCCAGGACCTGGTACCCCTCTCCCAATTCTAGATTTCTTTCCCGGCCCCAGTGTCATGGCAGTTCTGACCCACTTGCGGTGCGAGATGGAGAACCGGCTTGAGCTGAATGCGACCAGTCGCCAATCCCCGAACTGGATGAAGCCACTGCCGGCAAAGTACATTTGGCTTCGTTGGGATGTACTGGTTTCCCAGTCTCCCGCAGAACAGAAAACTCCAGGTACAGAGAACCGTAAAGCCGGAATCCTCTGCCTTGCAAGCTGGATTAACCCAAAGCAATCCACTAAAAGATCTAAAAGAAACCCAGTGCTCCGCATGCTACAGTAAAAGCTCGGCCTGTTGTGATCCCCGGGCAAGATCCAAGGTTACTCCTTGGCACACGATTGGCTCAAGCCCCAACTGAGGAAAGTCTGCAATGCGAGGGTTGTTCAATTCGCGTGCGCGCTGGGGGACATCGCACAGGGACAAGAACAACCGCAGACTGGCAGGCTCAGCGTTTGTGCAACTAGTAGTGTGCAACGGGGCCGGCGAGTCGTCTCGAAGCAGTCGCCAGAACCAGAACCGCCACAAGCACAGGTGCAGCTTTCGAGCGCTGGCGTAGTGTGGAGTGGAAGGGGTGGAGGAGTGCGGAGAGAGGATTGTGGTGGAGGGTGGAGGGGGGTCTTCTGCATGTGGCAGTGCAACCGGGGAGTGCCAGCTGCTATGTGTTGCTGCCGTGATGTGCCGGATTCAAGGGAAGGGCTGCGAAGTAACCCCTTGAGTCGTGTGTAAAGAGGTTCAGCTAGCAAGGCAACAGCCTAGCAACTTGCACATCTCAGCAAGGCAGATACTCGCTCATAGCTTTTCGAACCGTTAGATGAAGCACAGATTTGAAGACTTTTTCAGGTCGCGTAAAAGAATCGCTCAGTGCGCCGTGCATTTGAAGCTCATGGTTGCAGGTGTAGGGTTAGGGTTTAGAGTTTAGGGTTGCGGCTAGCGCGGGGGAAAGGCAGCCAAGCTTCTGGATATTGCCACAGTGCCATTGTGTCGGACGATTGTCTAATTGGCGACTGAAATGGTGCTGTCCGTTCCCGAAGGTAGTGCCATCGCTGTTGTAGACCTGGGCACTTAGACTCTTAGACCCTTGCTTCCCTTAGGTCTCTGTCCAAAATTGGTCAAGCGCAACACGGGTTTTTGCCGTATCCCTACGGCCTGCGCGACAACAGGAGCGACGTCGTTATCCTGATTGTCGTGGATCAAGAGAAGCCTCGAGGCATCATCTCCAACACCGATTCGGAAGTCGCCAATCTGCAAGAACCGATCTCCGTACCTCAGGCCACTAGCCGCAACCGCTGTTCTACTTGGAGGTTCATGGGTAGTTGTAAGTAGGGTTATAAGTCCCCGAACCATGGTCATACTTACTAGGGTTTACTATGCTTATAAGCCTACTTATTACTACCCACGGACCTCCAAGCAGGACCCCTGAGACCAATACTCAGCCTCTCTAAACCGCGGTGCCAACGCCAGCGCTGACCGTCCTGTCCTTGACACCATGGAATTGGTTCCAGGCGTTCCAATCGTTCGCGCGCTCATGGTGGCTGGTGCTGTCGTGCTTGTAGATGCATGAAGTCCAGCCATTCCTTCGCACATCTTGGCTCTATGACGGCAAAAAGGGCTTGCCTCTGTGGCCGTACTGGCAAGGCAAAATCTTTCAACTCCCCAGAAAGCATGGCTGTAAGAACGAGAATCAGATGAGAAATCGTGAGGTGGCGCCCGTGGTGTTCGTCATCCAGCTGCGCCAGGCGCCAATTGCCCATCTGGATGAAGGTCGCGCCGAAGGTAATGCCGTGTGGATAGCCAATGGGCCTCACACAGGGGCCTACTTGGAGGTCCATGGGTAGTTATAAAAAGGCTTATAAGTATAGTAAACCCTAGTATGACCATGGTTAGGGGACTGGGCAATGCCGCGACGTGAAGCGAAACAAAGGGGTAGACACAAGAAGTCCAGAAACATGGTAACAAATCTCAACATCAGAGGAGACGCAAGGAAGCACCATCGGGCAGTACACACCTTCATAGAGGAAGACGAGGTTCTGGCACAAGACAGCGTGGATCGTCCCTTTCCCTATCCGTGCCGCCATGGTACCAGCTTCGCGCGAACCGCAGGATTGCCACTATGTCCCGCAGTGACTGACATTACGACTCCTTGCCGATTGCCAATACAAGCACATGCGCCTGACCGTCCACTGCAGGTCGGTACTCAATTCCACCGCTACGATGATCAGATTATCAGTGGAGGATGGGCTCTCCTTAGACTTTTCCCACCTGACCATCAACCTCGACTGGTATCACGCTTTCCAACAAATTATTCTGGAGGTTTTATGTGGGTCTGAATGTCATCCCGCACTCTATTTCCAGACCGATGTGGGAGTGGTGTGCCTCCCTACGTTTGTTCCACTTGACCCTGCCGCTTTTTGCCTACGTGTTTTGCCAAGCATGGGAGACCGGTGGCTCCCAATGACGCAACCGGAAACCTCTGGAACATCCCATCAGACTGTCAGGTCTGCAGGTGCATGTCTACACCGTACGACGGGACACACTTCTGGATGACCATACTTTTGATCTGTCAAAGCTTGCACAGCAACTTCCCACTGGATGACATTGACTCCAACTTAGCAGTTGCCCCGTTTGAAGTATTCCACAAAGCTGTCTAGGGGAGCCGACATGAGGCGAACCGGGGGACCACGGCCTTCCCACGCTTTACACCAACGTCAACTGACTTATCAGGTGATCCATCTTTTATCGGCGAGTGGTCACGAATTCCCCTTGTGCGTCGGGTGAGCTTTACCAGCGACTCTAGAAGCGTCCTTTCTGACTAAGCCTTTCCCCACGGTGGCCGGAAAATTTACCCTAGTCCTGCCATCGTCTCACCCGAAAAGGGTAGCGAAGAGCCCTGTATAGACATGTCCATCGTGTATGTAGTTTTTCCGGAACTTGTTCCCCAAGCTGTATGCTTCCGCCGACTTTATGTTTTCCCCGCACATTAGTCCCATTGAGGGCTGCTGACGAGCGGTCTCACCTGTGGACACGCTCTGCGCGACTGAGAGAGAGAGATGGAGGAAGACGGGTTCAGAGAGAGAGGAAAGGATTCTCGACATCCAGCCATGCCCACCCACATTTAAAAGAGACGAAAGGCAGCCAAGACACACACGGAATCCAAAAGATGCTGGCGGTAATGGCCAGTCAAGAAAGCGATGAATCCAGAAAGACAGCGATGCCACAGCAGATGAGACAAGGGCATGGAAGGATACAAGAGTCCAGGAAATCTTCACCCATGTCATGGAAAGCGAAGCAGAAGACAGGAAAGCAAGACACTAAAACCAAGTACGAGATAACAAGGACAACCACAACCGAAGATGCGGGGGAACCTGTGGCAACGGCCATCCATGAAGGAACAGAGACAGTAGGGATGCAAAGAGTCACAGCATCCCGCAACACCTGCGTGAAACTACGAGGACGCAGTGCAGGACCCCTCGATGCTCGACAACAGTAGTGGAGACGAGGAACCTCAAGGGAGACGTGGCCAACATGGACATTCCGGGTTCCGGGCAACGGCCAGCGAAAAGGAAGGGATCCGAGAACATGAGAACAGTCTCATGCAAAAGGATATTAACAGAGGCAAGACTCAAGAAGCAACGGCCACCCATGCGAAACGGGAGAAGCAAAAAGACAAGTCAGGAAGCACGCGATGGCCGCCCACGCGACAGAGACACGTGGTGGAAAGAAGGAAAAGTAGCGGTCGGTGAAGACCGCCATAGCACGACGAACCCTGCAGAGCCCCACATGGCTTAACCGAAGACGAGGAGAAGAGAACAGACCTTCGACGGCCAGCCGTCCCACGCCCTTTCGGAGTATCCAAGGAATGCGGGGAGACTGCATTTCTCCCTGGATGCCGCGGGCACAGTTGTTGCCCGTTCGTTAACCACAGCCCTGGTTGTGAAGGAGAACCTATGTGGGTACTGACCTTCGTCTAGCACTCCCTAGAGCTGCAAAGCTCTCTGCTCTGATCTTCTCCCACTGGCTCCAGCTAAGGCTGGGGGTCATCTTGACACTCCCGTCGCCGGCTCTTGTGTCCCTTGTGCCTGCGCCAGAGACGGTCGCTCCACTTTGCTGCAGGGCTCTTCAAGGGGGCCCCAGCGTGTCTGTAGACCTGAACAGAAGAGCACATCTTGACATGCCTCTTGACCCCCTCAGCATAGCTACCCCAGAAGAGCACTTGGTGCGCGGGCCGCCGCGTTGTTGCCGTTCCGGTGGGTGATGCCGAAGTTGTTCTCGTCGATGGCCCCGATCCGCCAATCACCGATCTGGAAGAAGCGATCTCCCCAGCTTCCGAAGGTTGCTCTGCCTTCATTTCAAGGGCGCTTTGGCATGTTGTTGTCAAGGTGTTGGCTATTCCCTGGATCCCATCAAAGCCGGACACCAAAAGCCAATGCATGAACGGCGTTGCAGCACTGTAGCACTGTCCTCTCGCAACGTGGCTTAATGGCAAGCGAGCTGCACTCGCCATGGGCCATCTCAGCAAGGCTCTTGCAATCCCAGCCGGTGGGACTCAGCCCTAACAACTGCGTCTTGCGGTAGTCGCTATTAACGAGGTTCGGATGGTTATCCTGCCCTCGCTTCCACTCGTGAGTGCCATCGCTCCTGCGCTCTTTCTGGAGGCTGAGGCGCCTACTTCAAAGAACATATGCTGTACTATACCATACTAGACTCTAGAGTAGTCTAAAGCTTTCAAGAAGCACCCGGGGCCGGGGGGCCTGAACGCCTCGATGACACGAACGTGGTGCGGGTCGATGTGTGCCAAGAGCAACTCATCCCAATGATTGCCGAAACCATCAGTATTTCTAATCTCGCCAATCCGGAAGTTGCCGATTTGAATCCACCTTATTCAGAAAATGCCAAGAACGCATCAAAAATGACACCTTCTGATTGGCATCATGTGCCTCGGGAGAAGAGCTCCTGATGATGTTCATCATAGTAAGGGGCCCTGCCGCTATTCTTGGGCTACTCAGGCGATGTTATGCTCTGCAGTAACCATGCGTCACCTGCGATTATGCCAGTGCAGCAACGGGCAAGGAGCATCTGCACCTTAGAAACTATGAAGCAGGATTCCTGCATGAGGACACGGCTGTGGCTACCCCAGCTTCCCGGGCATGATTCTGTAGGGTGAGGCCCGCCACCATATTGGCGTTTGGTTTCGAGGGGGCACTTACAGGGCATGGATCACACCTTCACAACGAAGAAGCCTAAGGTTCCCAAAGCTCTGAGCTGCGCGGCTTGTCTCCATAGTCGATGCCCGAGGGAGTTCCTGGGAAGCGGTCCAAGACGTTCATGACCTGGTGGCATAGTCGGAATCACCCAAAATCCTTTTCGGGTTTAGGCTTGAGGGCTTGGGGTTTTGGGTTTAGCACGACTTCTGACCAGCGGGAAGGCTACCGAGGAGCTAAGAAGTCTCCGATCAATTCGCCGAGGAGCATATCCTGCATCCCACACCGTACTTCCATCCCACCTGTAATAAGCGCTTGTCTTCTTTGTGTGTCTCTGCCTGGGAGATTTCCAGGGCAGAAGTCTGTGCTTTCACTGGAGGAGGGAGGGAACTGTCAAAGGTACGGGGAATGCCATGACACAAACAACTCCTCTGAAGAAAGGCTTAGTCCGGCACGCAATCGAGAAATGATGGTCATCGACAGCGCCGAGTCGAAAGTTGCCAATCTGGATGAACTGGTAGCCAAACTTGATGTCTTTCGATTGCCCGCAAGGCAGGATCGCCCTTCAGGCTGAGTTGGGAGATTGAAGGCTATTTCGCCTACTAAGGGTTCTGGTAATTCCTGAAGCTCAGTGCCAATGACGTGCTCCGGTCCTATTCCTGGCGTTGTATGCATACGGCTGGTGGTCGTAAAAAGTTTTCCCGTCATCCCTCCATATCGCATTGACTGAGCCGTCCTGGAACTTTGCACGCTGGTTCACATGCTGGCGGACCATCAAGGAAGGCATGGGCAACCGTGCAGGAACGGAAAAATCAACCTTCTGAGCGTGCAAGCAGGGGTCCTTGTGGGAGATTGAGAGGTGACTGTGGTCAATGGCCGCGATGCGGAAGTTGCCGAGCTGAATGAAGCGATCCCCCATGGGAATAAGGTGGCACTGGTCACTCGAAGGCCGGGAGCCCGTGTCATCAACATGTGGTCTGCGTATCATTGGCTGCACCTGTTCCGGTGGCGCAGCTTCGACCTCCGACAAGGATGGGGCCCCTGAGCCAGCAGTCTTGCATCCCAGCTCTTTTGCGCAAGGGGCCTGCGCAAAGCCCGGTGTCTTCCAGACCTCCTTGCAAAACAGCTTCTGGGGTTTCAGCAGCGAAATGGGCTTGAAAGGAAGCTTCAAGTCGGGGATGAGGGCTGCGATGGCGCCCCCTGCCGCCCGGGCTGCATCCATGATTTTGTCTTCGATCGCATCAACAGCGGGACTAGCACCAGGAATACACTTCAGGGGGCCGGTAATCATCGTCAGCAGCGCCCTTGCACCTCACAACAACATGCAAGAAGAAAAACAATCGGATCCTACAGAGACATCTTTCTGGATAGCGCCTTCCAGCAGTGCCTCCTTCAGTGCATTCTTGAGGAAGGGGCCGCTCAATAGAGGCTTCAGCCACGGGGGCACGGCAAAGCCAGTGATTGAAAAGTCCGAGTAGACAGACACGGCCTAGGAGTCTTGGACCCACCGTCAATGGGTGAAGTGGAGGCAAGCTCACAAGCTGTCCTATGACTTATGCTTGCCATGCAGTGCGATGGCATGGATCATCTGTTAAACTTGCTCGGCCACGTGTGTCCACTCGTTGCGTATTTGAATCACGCAAGAGCTTTCGAGTCTGAATCAACTGGCATTTTGTGAATCTATTGATTGTTCTGAACCGATTGATCTGCTACGATAAATCAACCGGCAAAGTGACATACCAAGCACATCCTCGTCATGTCGATGCACTCATCAGAGAACTCAATCTGGAAACAGCGAAAAGCGTGAAAACATGTGAAAACACCTGCTGAGAAGAAAAAGCAGGGTGAGGTACTCAAGACACTTGAGATGCCGCCGATGAATGACGCAATGCAAAGGAGTTATCGTTCAATAACGAAGCGTGCGGCATTCCTAGCCACCAAGAGTCTAGCCAGACACATGAAGGCACCTCACGAGGCTGCCTGGTCAGACTTAAGAAAGGCTTGGACAATACCTAGGTTAGTTTGCGAATTCTACCTTCAACGATTCCAACAGGATCTAACCGTGTATTGTGACTCGGATCATGCTGGATGTCTCATCATGCGGAGATCCACGACAGGGATCGTAACCATGTGATTTTCACGGTGCAGTAAACACAACTCCAATGTACAGACAACCGTCAGTCTGTCTTCTGGAGAAAGTGAATTCTAGGCAATTGTGAAAGCCGGAGCAGTCGGACTTAGCCAACAAGCTTTGTTGAACGGCTTGCATCGAAGCGGAACTCAAGACTGAGTGACAGTAGTGCGGCAACAGGTACTTGCTCACGACATGTACAAACAAGGTTTCTATTGGTCCGGAGAAAGTGGCTAGAAATGAACCGAAACTGGAGAAAGTTGCCACGGACAAGAACCTTGCGGACACGTGTACCAAACCACTGCCGGAAGTCGCTGTTGAGAAACGTATGAAGAACATGGGATTGAAACACTATCAGAAGAGAGCACGAGGTGGAGAGCCCTGTGTTAGCCAAGGGATGAACAACCCTGAAGGCCAATGGATGGAAATCATCGCCTGGCCTAGGAGGGGTGATTCGATGTGAGAGTTTTCGTAGGTTGTAGGATGTATGCTTCGCTATGCGTCACAATGACCTTGGCTCAAGCTTTCAAGATAGTGTTCTGAGAGCTTAGCCCAAGCATAATCTCCGTTCAGTTGCTGTCAAAATGGTTACAGGTTCTCCAGATCTGACTTGAGAACGTAGAGATTTCTAGCCCTGAACTCCCTTGGATCGGGTCTTGGCTGCTCTCCCACCAGTTCTGGCACATCCACCCGGCTGGGCGCTGCACGTTCAACTGGATTGGTCCACTTCTAGGGTAAACCTCTCAGCTGGTCAAAACCTTCTTTCGACCAACGGTCTTCTTCTCCACGCCTGCGTAGAGAATGTCCTTTCGCAACACCAGTAGGCGTCATCACGAGGAGCCCCTCACTTTCGGCCTTACGCTCCTGGCTGCCCCCCAAAGTGGTGGCAGTGGATGTCAAAAACGCACACCCCTCGGCGAACATGGAGTTTCGTCGCGCTCTTGGGATCCCCTTTGTACTTCTGCACCAACACTTTCATAACTGTTGCGGCGGATCAGGAAACCTCCTTCGCTCCAAGCACAGCGTAGTGGGTTTTACACACTTCCGACACTGATCCAAGCACTCGGTGGACATCGGCCAAACGACCGTGGAGCACGGCATTGACTCTCCTTTAGGAGATAGAGCATTTGGTAGTTTCTCTCATTGTAGATTTCTCTCACCCTTGTATATGTATACTGACGATCGTCATGGTCGTCGCCATGAAGATGTGGCATTAAATCGGTGGATATACAAGGAAATTGGAGGCCAGGGCCGAGGCCCCCATCCCTGAGGAACTGCCGCTGGAGGTGCTCCCTTGCAATGTCACCGGGCCATAGTCCGGAATGCTATCCTGGGATGCCGTCTTGAAGCTCATTGCGTCGTGGGGCTTTTCATTGCCCTTTCCGTACTTGAGCGGTACTACGGTCACAGCCGCGCCGCTGTCGAAGTTGACTTCGATCCTTTGGCTCGTGAAGCCCTGGCGCTGAAACAGCTCCCGTGAGGTTGTCAACGGATGCAACCATTGCCCCACTTCCGGGAGGCTTCTTTGGGCCACCGGGCAACCCCTTCCAATCGCCGCAACTGTCATCGTCCTCGTCCTCATCTTCGTCCTCATCTCTCCTCCGGTCGCTTGCGCTTCTCCCTTTCCTTTGTACTTCTGAGCAATCTTTTTCCTCCTTTCAAGCCTCTTGGCATGGATCTTCTTTCGCTTCTCAGGGTCAGGAGGCTTCTCTACTTTTCCCTTCTTTGGCACACTCGTGACGGTCGAAGTTATGTTTGCTCACTCGATTCGCATGGTGTGCTGCTTTACGGGTTGTGCCACAGCGCGCAGCTACAGTGCTGTAACTTATTTTGTCAGTTTGCGTAGGTCTCGCAAATCACGGTTCGAGTCACCTTGAACAGCAGGTGTAAAAAAGATGCCCGTTGATGCGTTTTGCCAGATGGCACCGCGTGTATCCTTCAGGGACCAGATCCACGGGCTCGATGGCGTTGGTCTCTCAAGTTCGTATCAGGTGTGATCCTCATGTTGTACGTCCTCAATTTTTCCTATGTCGCGTTAAACTGCCTGGTGGATCTTAATCTGATCTGTGGCAATGTACAGCTTGTCGAACGCGACATCAGCTGGGGAGTGTCGGGTTGTGCAACCATCAGCAAGTGACAGCAGAAGCTTGGGATGCCTTTGTTGCTTGTTTTCTTCTGCTCACAACTACCGCTTTGCTCAGCCGCGCGCGCCAATACCACTGGAGCACTACATACCGATGCTTATATTTGGAGCAAGAAGTACACTATGCAGCTCTCCGGTGTTGCCTCTGCTGTTCAACTTGCCGAAACCGTTTTGTCTGAATGGAACGTTTTCTGTGCCTGGTATTGTACTGCGAGCGAGTGCGATCCCAATTGCAGTCGAGCTTGCTTTGTGCACCGAAAGTCTGGGAGAGCTTTGAAACTGTTGTGTCAGCTGTCTGCCTGGGTCCATCATTTCCAGCGATGCAGGTCTTCATGTCGAGTCTGTCGTGAGAACTGGAGCGCACGTCGATGCAGAGTCTGCCTGGACCCGCGTGCGTGGACCACCACATGTGACATCATGCAAGCTCGCGCTAGCCATAACTTATTGCCAGCCTTCAAACGAGGAGATATTTGTCGTAGCATTGTGCGGACTGAGGAAATCAAGGGTCAGATCTTCCGCGACTTCCTGAGGACGCCGCGCACACATCACGACCAACGTTTACATGCTTTTCGCCGAACTTTTGCTTCGAAATGCGGGCTGCCGCTTCTTCTCAAGTCATCAGGTACGTTACAAATGTGAGCTGCGCATGTAAGCCTAGCTTTAGCTAACCGGCTTCAGACAGTAGCACGGACAACACGAACTTCTCTTTTTAGTGTTGTGGCGAAAGTCCCGCGTTAGCCCGGAGAAAAACTCTAGCCTTTGGCTAGCTGATCTCCAGAGTGGGTAGGGTGGGCACTCGAAAATTGCCCCCTATTAGCAGGGGGCCTTTCAGCACAATGGCCACGGAATTTAGCTCACGTTCCACCCACCATGGAGAAAAACCCCTTCGACGTTTTCTAGCGAAACACCTTCGATGTTTCACTCAAGGGATACTAGCGCTAGCATACGCGTGGTCGTACCTCGTCCCTCGGCACGTGTGCGTACACTAGCCAGCGTATCCTCCCGCCACCTCCCACTACACCTCCATCCTGGCAGGAGTCTAGCAAAAGTGTTGCCAACCACTGACACATTCTAGCAGGCCTTTTCGGAACCAGAGGTCTTGAAGGGGCCTTTAGCGGGGCGCTTGAATATGTGCCCCAGTGTAGCAGCGGAAGGGAGCGGTCCTGTATAGCAGCCTTTTTCGTCATAGCACGGCAGTCCTTCATGCACGAAGTCCGGCATAGCAGAAGTGCACTTCAGTAGCAGCCGGGTGGGCTTAGCGTAAGGCGTGCCGAAGCTAGCCTGGTGGAAGGGGACCGTCCGTAGCCTTTTTGCAGAAGGTCGGCTAGCGGCGGCCACTGCCACATGGAGGCTGGTCGATCTTGTTTGTGAGGGCCTTTAGCGAGAGCGTCGGCGTCGAAGTCCTCCGGTTGCTCCATCGCCAGAAAAGCAGCTGCACCATCCGCGACCAGGTTATAGCGACCTCAAAGCTGAAGTCAGCGAACATGTTCCCAAGGATAGCGCGGTCCCGTTCAGCCGGGGGTTGGCGTCTCCAAGCCCCTCGGAGAGGTATAGCTACGCACCGGGCGGGGCCCTTTGAAATTAGCCCAGGATGCGCGAGAGAAAGTAGCGCACGGGGGCGACAGCAGCACAGCGTCAAACTCTCTGTTAGCGATGGCAAGCTCAGATCATACTTCGCGTGGCGGACCAGGTCGACGCACTCGACCTTGAAGTCTAGCCCCAGCTACTGCACCTAGCTTGCGCCACGTCTAGCTTGCGGGCGACGCCTGAGAACAGGTAAAGAACTCCTCAGGCCCGGAGGCTACTGCTGGAGTAGCGGGTCAGTTGGTGGCCTGCTTGTCGTCCAGGCCTCGTCCTTCTTCTTGTTCGGGCACTGCGTAGCCGGGTGCTTTTGGAAGCATAGCGAGCAGACGTGCGCGAAGTGGCACTTGCTGCCGTTCTTGCATCCCTTAGCAGTAGCATTGTAGCGGAAGCAAATGGGCTTCCCGGACGATTCTTAGCTTTGCCACCCTTGAAG